TACAAATAATGCAAATAATAATTAAATTATATATTTGTAGGTTTCTATGCGTGGCGCAATGCCACAAACGGTTCATGGTTCATACAATCCCTGGTAAAGGAAATCAAGGAGAATGGTAAAAACCTGGATATGCTAACATTACTGACATTCGTAAATCGGCGTGTGGCTGTTGACTTTGAGTCGTGTGTGCCGGACAGTCCCATAATGCACCAACAGAAGCAAATGCCCTGCGTCACAACCATGTTAACGCGCATATTGCGTTTTTCAGACAAAAAATAGTTAACCTATAATAATCTATAATATATATATAAAGGATATAAGAATAACCAATTAGAATTAAGAGAATATTATTAAATTAAGATAATTATATTATTTAAAAATAAATAACAAAACTATTGTTAGATTTAGAATAAGTTTCAAAGAACAGTCTATTGTAGAACGTGATCTGGCAAAGATGATAATAATATAAAAGTAAATGAGTAAATAAATAAAATAAAGTTTTCATATAATATAAACAAATTAATGTGTTTTCATTAAAGACTATATTAAATCCCATCCCATCTCATCAAATATATTATATGCAATTGTTATTATTATTTTTTTCTCAATTTTTAGTAATTTCTAAAACGTTCAATTTGCATTTAAAATTTTGGTATTATAATTTGATAAAAAAAAAAAATTATATATAAGTATATATATATATATTTGTTTTTTTTTTAATAAGGTGAATATTTCAACTGAATTGTTTGTATTTTGGCAAAATAATAATTTATTTGCTTCCTCAATTATATTTAACACATTGTTATATTAAAGTGTATTTAAAAATATTTCATAACATTAATTTAAATATCAACAATGAGAATATGAATTCAAATAAAAGTACAATTTTTCAATTAATCAATTAATTTTTATCAAATCTTATCTGTAAATGAAACTCTACTCAAGTACTGCAAAAGGAAAAAAATTATAAACTTTAATCCCACCGAACTATATTTTTCTCTGAAAACTGTGCTATTAAACGTGACCAAATTAAATTTACATTTTGCTATTTGGTATAAAAAATTATATTAAATTTATTGAATTTACACTGCGACCTAGAGATCTATTGTGCCTCGATTACTGTTTTATTGAAATAAAATTAATTTGCTTATATTAGAAGGACTGACCGATCTTACAAGGTCTGAATATCTGCAAGGTCAAAAAAGATGCTCGTTAAACCTGCCTTAAATCAACAGCTGGGGTTCGGTATTATTAAGTAAACGAATATCAAACTTATTCTTGGAAAACGTAGGTTCTATTCTGGAAACTGCAAAGAGTAAAGTCCTTTTATTGGAAATGAAACCTATCAATGTTATCTTCAATTTAAACAGAAAGACGTTGACTTAACATTGAGTTTTTATTATTTTTATTATTTATTATTGATTAAAAAAATTCGTACAGCAATTACAAAAATTATAGAACTTCACTTAACATCTATATTGACAATAACATATTGGTTGTGTGTCAGATTGGCATACAAACGGATGTGCATATTATTAACACTATTATTCAGATAAATTACTCAATAATTAATCTTCTGTAACTTAAAACCATTTTCATAAAATTATACAGATTATAAGTATTGTTACCATTTAATAAGACTTTACCATCTTCTTCGAACAAAAGTACTTTATCAAAAAACAGACGTCTATGTTCTTTGAAAATCGGACAAACACCAAGAATATGACATATATTTTCTATTTCATGACGATTACACAAAGAACAGTCACGTTCAGATATATTAAATTCTCTACCGTGTTTTCGTAATAAAAACTATACATAATATCATATTGTTGTTGTGGAAACATGTCATGAAAGACTCAGTTCTAAACAGATATTTTCCCCATCTTTGGCCCAATATATAGCTTAGTCAGTTGTAAGTTCAGATAGTATTCAAGAAAGCCTTATGGTGGGGAGATTAAGAATTTTTCTTACCTAGGCGCAATGTGTTTGCACTGTCATAAAACTGCGTTGATAAAC